AGCCACACAATCGCACATATTCGCTGCCTGGTTCCGACTCCTCTTTCAGAACTAAAACCACCAGCTAAAACGTGTACCACTAGTTTAAGGAATTTTAATTTTTAATGAAGGATCGATCCCTCACTGATTAGATTTGTTATCTCTTTTTGCAGATTGGCAGCGATGCCCATTTGGACTACACGCGAGTACTGGATACAGTGCGGTCCATGTGCTTCAGGAATGAGAAGATGCAAGCCCAGGAGCTGACGGAGAAGGCGGCGATTGTGGGCGGCGCCGGCATCAACAGCAATAGCAGCAGCAGCAGTGGCTTCAACAGCGGCTATCGGTGTCGCGGCGGTTACTACTTGGGCTCACGGAAGATCTCACTTACCTGCCAGAGCAGGCCATTTGTGGACGCCAACACAGGCACTGTGACGTCCTTGGCAGCAACCGTCGCCATGCCCACATCGGCCGCCGCCCTACTGGAGGTGAAGCGGAAGACGGGCACGCGTCTCCGTTCGCCGGGTCCCAGTCCGCCCACGATCTCGCCGTCATCCTCGCCGAATCGCAGCCGCTTTCATGTGTCCCGTGTGGCGGAGGTCAGCAGCGGCAGCATCAGCAGTCCGCTGATCTCGCCGCTCGCCCAGAGGCCCCTGCAGCATCCACCCACGCCGCGCTCGGCAAGCAGCTGCATGTCCATACCCACCATCGGCGGCTGTTCGCCCAGCGGCAGCCAAAGCAGCCTAAATGCGGTGGGTGTGGGCACCCTGCCCACGTCGAGCTCGCTGCCGGCCATGGCCTCGGTTACGTCCTCGACCCAGACCATAAAGCGGCTGTCGGTTTCGCCTCGGTCCCGCTTCCATGTGTCGCGCATCTACGAGGATCCCCAGGTTCCAATGGCCAATCGTCAGCTGCCACCCATCACGCCGCACACGCCACCCATTGATCTGCCGCCCACACCGATGTTGAAGTCGTCCCGGAAGGCGGTGCAGCTGTCGGAGGCGGTCGAGGCAGCGGCTGCTGCTGCTGCCACTGCCACAAGCGGCAGTGTAGTGATCATCAGCAATGTAGTGATTGTGGAGCCAACCATAGACGAACCAGACGAGAGCGACGCACAGCGAAACAGTACAAATGCCGACGAGGCTGCGGGACAGAAACTCTCTCCGCATTTCTCCCACAACTCCCCCATTTCATCCAATTCATGCTCAACATCGCCCGGTAGCAGTGGCAGCAGCATTAGCAGTGGCAGCACCAGCAGCAGCAGCAGCACCAACGCTTGTGCCGGCAGCAGCAGCAGTAGCACCTCCACCGACATTACAGACTCTATTAGCTCGGGCCCCCCATCAGGATGCTCTGAACCAGTGCCCAGGCTCTGTCCGTTGGCCGTTTTTGGAGACAATGATATAACCCTTACCAAGGAGTCGGCTGCTGTGGTGGCACTCTCGGCCGCTGTGCCAGCGCCAGTGCCAGAGGCAGATCCAGAGACAGTAGAAACAGAACCAGAACCAGAGCCAGCGCCGGTAAGCAGTCCACAGCCGACGGCACGTTCCCGCAAGACCTCGTGGATAGCCAATCCGTCGGCGGTGGACAAGCTGCTCACTCTGTTCAATCCGGGGACGATATTCCAGCGCAGTTCCTCGCCAGAGCAGAAGGCCAGTCAGCAGCAGGTTTCAGGGGCCAACACCGCCACAAACAACGCACAGAGTTAGTCATCCCAGTCGATTATATTCAAATCCGGAAGGATTAAAACAGTTTATCCATGGTTTTAATTTATTTTATTCATTTCTATTGACAGCAGCAGACGATGGTAATGCCACAACACAAACATCCATTCTGTCGGTCACGCGAAAAACTTCGCCCTCCTCCTGGACCTCTCTGACCGGCGGCAGCCACTGCGCCACCTCAAACTCTAACTCTAACTCAAACTCCAATTTGGACAGCGTTTCCGGCACAGGCAGTTCTTCATTCCTGGACACGGCCTCGCGTCAGTTGCGTGACTTTAGCAAGCAGGTCTTTCGACAGAACATCTCGTTCAACAACAGCGGCGATGGGGCAGCCAGCTCGGGGCCAGCAGGCGTCCAGTTGGATGGGAACGGGGCAACGGGTACGATTACTACTACCTCGTCGTCGAGCAGCACAGAGTCGGCCTCGCCGCCGGAATGCAATGCGGCTCATATGCCGCCTAGCCTGAAACGGCAGCTGAAGGAGAACATCTCCCCAGAGCACACCATCAACGAGGAGACGCTGCACACGCTGCAAAAGCTGTCGCGAGTGGAAGATGTGGCGACCCTCAAAGCGGAGGCGGCCGCAGAGTTGGGCGACATTGAGATAGTGATGTACAGCGAGGTTGTCCATTGCCTACCTGAGGAGCAGACGCAAAAGCAGAAGTCGGAGCCGGAGTAGGAGGCCTCGAGCATAGTCTTGGAGGAAACGCACAGCACTGAGTAGGATGATGATCGGCTACTTACAAACAAACATAGAACCTAAGCAAATTTATCGTGTGCAATTGACAATGTTGAGCGGCAGAGAAATGGAAAGGAAAGGAAAACCGACTAAAGAACCACCCACCCAGCATTCCCATGGCGCTCCTTTGAACCGAAACCACCCCACCCGCCTTGAAAAATGATGATGACGATGATGAAAGAATGTGGAGGGGCCTCTCTTCGAGACCCTCCTGTAACTAAAATAACTATTAACAGAAAGAGAATCAGAAACAACAAATATGAAGAAGTACACAAGTTAGTGGTAACTTTTGTTTTATTTTTGGTTAAATTCGTTTTAAGTTAAAAAAAATACTTATCGACCAGAAAACAAATTACACACAAAAGAGAGAAAATATAAATATATTTTAATTATGAAACTATGAAAACTATATATGATATATGGCATATTAAATGCAAAAACTAAAATGGATAAACTTCTATGAATGTATAAAAACTAAAGAAAACAAAAAGAAAACCTGTACACACACATAAACCATCCCCAAGAAAAGAAAATAACTAAATGTAAACCATCCATTGGCCCACAGTGTCGCCGAGTGTCGATTGCTGGATATTGAAAAGTTGCATAGATCTTATCTAGGAAAAACCATGTGAAACTTAATTGAAAAAAACTTGTACTTACCCATCATCCAAAAACCCACATTGTTATACACATTACTTAAGTTAATTTTAACAGGAACGAAACGGAACTTAATTAGGGAAACCCTCCCACCATATATGGAATGAAGGTTGGGTGAGCCTGCCCAAGTATTATGAATTGGAATAACTTTCAAAGAACACTTAAATTAGGTACTTAATCAACATAATTAAACGGAAGAAACCACACCCAAATCCTGTAGGCAATCTTAAGTTCAATGACATTGTGCAATTAATCGTACATTCTTATACACAAAAACACACACATACAAAACGGAAATGGAAGCGCACGCGAAAACTAAACAAAACAAACGATACGATACGAAACAAAACAAAACAAAACAAGCACCCAAAATAAATCCAATTGATCTCATTATGTGATATTTGTCGTAGTGCCCAAAGCGTTCACTGTAGTACGTGTATCTTACATATAACCAAAACATACGAGTTAAGTACATGGTGTACGGAAACGGAAACACTTTTGCTTTAAGTAAGCTTACTCAAACAAACCCAATACCCCAGCTAAGACCCAGCATCTCTGAAACATATACCCTGAACAGCAGAAACACTATTTGAGGAATGCAACTTTTCAGCAATGCCAGCACTCGATGAGGCGACACAAACCCAAACCCGAACCCAAACCCTATTTTGACCCACACCACATATAATATTTATATAGAAATGTAAACATATTTCGATTCAACGCCCAGATCTTGTAAATACCGTGTGTGTGTACTCGTGTACTCTCTCTATTATAGAATGTGGCAGGAGAAAGCCTCTAGACGGGGAGCTACACCCAAAACCTTGAGTTCATTTTAAATATTTTTTGTTTCCTTTTAATTTTTTTTTGCTCTTTGTTAATGATTTTTGTTTTTGTTTACCGATCATATTATTGTTTAAAACTATAAATGTAACTATATTATATAGATGTATATGTATGTATATCTCTATACATTAAGTAGGCAAAAGCGAGCAAGTTTTTATTCAAATACTATTTTCCAAAATGCACCAATCGAAACATTTTCTTCTCCTTACTTAAACATTTGATCATTGTATCGTACTTAATTTACAAAAGAAAACAACGGAAAACCAATGAAAAGAAAAGATGGAACGATTTTTGGTGCTTTCAGGCCTTATTGCTAGACAGGAAACCCCTCCTAAATTCGGCAATCGAAACTTAAACTCATTTAAATGTTTGATTGATCAACACTTTCGGTACTTTGAACAGTGAATTCATATTCTGTACCTATGATTTTTTGTTGCATTGGCAAATTAAACGTATTTTCATAATCTAAGTTTATAAATTAGTAAAGAAAAAAAAACAGACCTACTAAACCGAAAAATTTACTGAATAAACTTTTGAAAGTTGTAATGAAAATATAAAATATTTTTTGTAAGGATTATCTATCTTCTGGCGGACTATCTCTGGAAAACACTACTTCTACTTATTCACTGCTCTTCCGAAAACTATATGAAAACGTTATGACATCTGTTGATATGAGCCCAAGACCAAGGGATATGTTATGCACATACATATGTTGCACAGATGACAGGTGGAAGGAGGCACCAGTGGGTGGGTGTGTGTGTGGCAAGGAAGCGTACAAATTTCATTCATGAATGTGTCGCGCTGTAAATGCGCTGTTGGTGTGGGTGGCTGCTGCCACAGTGGGGGTGGCTTCTTAACAGAGCTCTGTTTGTGGCAAGTCCTTCGCTGTTGGGCCCCGCACACGCACACAGAAGTCAGGCTGGGGGCGTGAGGCCGAGCTTCATTCTGTGGCAGATGGAATATCTGCGTTCAGTTCCACTTCGAGTGTCGTTCGGTGCGGATCGCAGTCGCAAATATTCTCTCTCGTTGGGACATTGAGTGAAGGGGAAAGTGAAACGATGGCAACTGTGGCTACTAATGCGGATGCGGATGCAGCTGCTGCTGCTGCTACTCCTGGGGCACTGGAGTCCACCGTCAATCCCAAGTGTGCCAATGTGAACAACAATAATAGTGCCCGCTCCAGCCGGGTGGGCAGTGCTTCTGGGGCAGACCAGGACACGGATACGGATGCGGCATTACTGGTGGACCAGCGCTTTGGCTGGTGCAGCTTTCAACCGCAGTGGCTGCAACGTTTCTGCACCGCCAAGTGGGCGCTCTTCTGGCTCTGCTGGGGCGGTGCGTTGCAAGGTGAGTCGGCCACTGGATCCAGACCAGTCCAGAGAATCCAGAGAATCGTTTCTTGTGGGGGCTCGCCACTTAATTCGTTTAAATGGCTCGTCTCGCGCGAATTTTCGACCCACGCAGTATTTTATTTATTCAGTTTTTGTGGAACGCAGTGAAGGTTACACTTGAAGCATCCAAAAAAATTAACCACCAACCGGATTAAGATATATGTATTTGTATGCTTTGGAAATTTAAATTTTAATGAAATAATATTTATAGGATATACCCCATTCTGAGTTAATTCCTATGCCCCCTTAAATACTCGTACATTGTAGCCAGCGAGCATATTTCTTTGGATTATTACACAAATAAAGAAAACTTTCCTGGAAAGAGCTGGGCAAACTTTGAACCAGGAGTCTGTACGCCTGGCCCTGTACTCCGAAAGACAATGCCATGCACATCCGCATCGCTTCATTAGCATCCTGAGCAAATCCTGAGACCCGGCCCAAGTCTGTGTGCAACAGATAAGAGTGTTCGCTTCGCCCAAAAGGGTTTGAGGTTGGAGCTGTTGCTGGAGCTGGAGCTGGAGATGGGGCCAGAAGCAGGTTGAAGTTGCAATGAATAGACGCAAATTAAAAATTAATATCAGCCTGGAGCAGTCGAGGGAGTTGGCTTTTCTAGCCCGAGGATGCATTAACCTCAAAAAATCCACTCACTTTGAATAGTTTGAAAGGCCCGGTGAAGTGTAAATGGTTCTCCACAAGGAACCAAGGTGTCGGAGTGGGATGGTATCTCTTGACGTTGTCATAGGCATTATTGGTGGGATGGGGCATGGGCGTGAGTCCAGTGATGCTGCTGGGGGGAAGCGGCATAAATCAAAACAATGTTAATCGCTGTTTACCCAACCCAACCCATAGCCCATCCTCCTCCACTGAACGGAGACCGTGGTGTCCATGGCTACGGGTAGCTTTAGCTTCGAGTTCGGGTTCCACTCCTTACGGGTTCACGCGGTTAATTAAAATTCGCCAATTTCCCCGAAACTGTCGACACGTTTATGCCTGTTTCGAGGGATTAGGCTATGTTCCAGGGATTAGATGAGATGAAATTTGCAAAAGTGCATTCGCTGGATGGAGGCCAGTTTGGCAATTTTTGGATGCTTGCCAAAAGGACACTCGGAGATGAGCGCGTGAGCGGGAGCTAAAATTATTTCGTATGCTCAATATATGCACATACATATGTACACATACAGGAAATCATGATTTATTGCCCGATACGACAATAATTAGAATTGTATTGATATATGTACAAGGTTATACACGTATTATAATATTTTAAAATGTTTAGTTATCATTATTTCTATTCGTATTATTTTTATACCCGATACTCAAAATGAGTATTGGGGTATATTAGATTTGTGGTAAAAGTGTATGTGTGTAACGTCCAGAAGGAATCGTTTCCGACCCCATAAAGTATATATATTCTTGATCAGCATCAATAGCCGAGTCGATTGAGCCCTGTCTGTCTGTCCGTCCGTCCGTCTGTCCGTCTGTCCGTCCCCTTCAGCGCCTAATGCTCAAAGACTATAAGAGCTAGAGCAACGATGTTTTGGATCCAGACTTCTGTGATATGTCACTGCTACAAAAATATTTCAAAACTTTGCCCCGCCCACTTCCGCCCCCACAAAGGGCGAAAATCTGTGGCATCCACAATTTTAAAGATACGAGAAAACCAAAAACGCAGAATCGTAGAGAATGACCATATCTTTTAGACTGCGGAATCTGAATTGGATCGTATTATTATTATAGCCAGCATCAAGAAAACAATTTCATTTTTTCTCGCCCTGTCTCTCTCTAACACACACGTAGCATAGGCGGCTTTGCTTAGAGTAAAACATTAACGCCTAGATCTCAGAGACTATAAAAGCTAGTGCAACCAAATTTGGTATCCACACTCCTAATATATCGGACCGAGACGAGTTTGTTTCAAAATTTCGCCACACCCCCTTCCGCCCCCGCAAAGAATGCAAATCTGGGCATATTCACAAATCTCAGAGACTATTAAAGCTAGAGTAACCAAATTTAGTATCCGCACTCCTGTTAGATCTCACTATAAAACGTATATCTCAAAGGAGGAAAGCCATACTGACTTAGTACCGGGTATAACCGTAGAGTTGCGGTCTCCGAAGCAACTCACAACGTTCCCCCTCGTTTTTATTAAAGTCGCATTTGACTTTGACACATCCTAAAATGGTTTTTCATATCAATAGTTTTATGTATCTTCGCACAAATTTCAATTTCAATATAAATCTAAGCTATTCTACTATTTTTATAATTATGCTTTTTTCCAATCTGATAGCTTTTTTTAAATACTTACATTTATGTTGAACTCCTTTTGAATTCTACATCTCATTCCATATTGATAGTTAATATAGATGATAGATTTTCTCCAATAGGATCTCGATTTGAGGTCATCACGTGGACATCTCTGGTTGAATTTTGCCCTGCCCTCGTATTTATGTCTTGGCCGTGTGCTGTAAGCAAACTGGGTTCTTGCAGTCTCTGCTGCATGACTGGGCTGCCGGCATCTGTTGCACATTGCGCTGCCCACTGACCCTCGACGTGGGAATGCTTCCGGTTCGCTTTTGGGAGTCAAATAGAAGCATCGTACCCCAGTACCAGTACGTTCTCCATCCATCCTCCATTGGCCCACCCGCTGCTCTCGCGCCTGCAATGTTTGCTGAACTTGCCCACAGGATGGATCGGATACGGTTTCGGGCGGCACGTGACCGAAAATATTAATCAGTTGACACGGAATTAACATAAATCATCCGCAACAATTTTGGATTGTCGCGTTCGCTCGCCATGCATCAAATGGTTCAAATGGTTTATTGTTGTTGCTTATGCCGCAGAACAGAACAGAGCCCGACCCGAGTATCTTTCTATGGAAATGAGACTCGACTCTGGTGACTGCACTCCCAAGGTGGAAACACATGCATGCGAATGTTTTGATCCAAACGATGATCCTATTTAAGTAGTCAGAGGCACAGTCGAATATAGGAATATTTATGGACCCTTTCTTGGAACAACTATAGATTTTACCCTGTGGCAAAACTGGTCCATAAAGAAGATAATGAATCAGTTTCTTTACTTAAATTCCTGCGGATACATATGATTATATGGGTGATAACATATTACATAATCTAAACTTTAATTGATTCTCGAACTGATTCTGATAATTACCTATGAAATTGAAAGCTTTCTTGATAGCACACGTATTTTCTATACATTTTCTTCTTTTTTTTGTATACTTAATGTGGATATTCGCATCTTAAAGTCTATCATGTGCTAATTAGACAAACAGTTTTCATCAATATTTCCACATGGCCGCAAAAGGACTTACTTCAATCGATGTCCATGCAAAATAGGAGATTGTCACGTAGCCATAGCAGCCGTCGGCACTTCACTTCCTTAGCAAAAGGTCACACACGCACTTCAGAGACTCCCGCCCATGTCTCCCCTTCAAAGTCTCAGGGTTTTCCTGGTGAAATATTAAATGATTGCACTTAGTGGGGTAAATGACTCGTAAGTGTCATCGTCGTCTGCCACGCTCCTAGGACACCTTTAAATCCGGCAGATGACCACGGGAGGACCGGACCGGACCTCTTTCAAACACGAGACGATTATTGGAAAATAAATTGAATTTGTTGTTCCGGAGGGGGGGGGGGGGGGGGGGGGGGGGGGCCACAAAAAAAATAATATTCTAAGCAATACAATGGCAGTGGGTCGAGAGCGGAGAGGCGTTCGCAGAACTAACAGATATTTATTTATGATAGAAAATGCGCCTAAGCTCAAAATCAATTTGTCGTACAGATATTTAATTTATGACCCGCCCCCCGGTAACACCTCCTCCATCAGGCAAAACACCACTGGCTTCCGCCCTCGTGTCCTATCCTGTAGCGCTCTGTATTGTATTACAATCTGTTAAACTGCTGCCTCTCTGGAGTCATAAAATCATATTCTTCACTCACTAAAGTTGGGGGATGATCCCTGCCCCAGATGATAGATAGCAGGGGATGAAAGCGAACGGAAATCTATCCTTGTATTGACGGACCAAACTTTCTCTTTCAGGTCTGATTGTCAACGGATTGATCAACGTCTCAATCTCGACCATTGAGCGGCGCTTCGGATTGCGCTCGAGACAGATGGGCCTGGTGGCCAGTGGCTACGACTTGGCCTCGTTCGCCTGCCTGGTGCCTGTCACATACTATGGCGGACGGAAGGGTGCCTCCAAGCCGCGCTTCATTGCCATCGGACTGATAGTGATGGGTCTTGGTTCGTTGATCTTCCTGCTGCCCAACTTCCTGGTGGGTCCCTATCGGGCCACCATTGCCGAGGCGAATGTCTGTGAGATGGGGAGCAGCAGCAGCAGCAACCCCAATGCGAATCCGAATCTGAATCAGACAATGGTGCAGTAGAAGATGCGACTAGCTGTCATGGCAACTAAATCTCTGATATCCTTGCAGCAATACTCCTGCGAGGTAAATGCTGGGAATGGAGAGCGCGAGGAGTACGATAGTTTAACGTGGACCGTGTGGCTGTTCTTTGGGGCTCAACTGCTCCATGGTGCCGGTGCTGCACCCCTCTTCACACTGGGCGTCACATACATCGATGAGAATGTCTCAAAGAAGATGTCATCTGTTTACTTGGGTAAGTTTCGCAGGCAACGGCAACGGCAATGGCTACGGGACGGCAACGTTTCATTGATAAGACGCGCAAAAACTTTACTTTTGTCTGGAGTCGCACAACAAATGAAGTACTATGCACAAATACCCACACTCTTCGGATATCGCACTCCTGGGGTGGTTTGGTTATAGGGACGTATCAAACAGAGTATCCAAAGTATCTGCTAGTTGCTCTCACACATGAATATTTATTTTTATTTGCGACATCGGTTACAAAGGGAAGCAAACAGTATTTACTGTTTGTGCCCCAGGCTCAGTTCGCAGTTCCCAGTTCCCAGCTCCTAGCTCGCCGGAAATCTCGATCCCAATCCTGTGACAGAGGTCTCGTGCCGTGCCAGCCATCCTTCCCCTTGTTGACCCAATTTTAAAGAGCAGCCGCCTGCGATGGCGACGGCGACGGCTGCTCCTGATTGTTGCTGACTCAGTTCAGACTTAGACTCGAGTCCTGGGAAGAAAACGAACGCCAGCGGAAATTTATTGCCTCTTAGTTAAGTTTATCGTGGCATCCGAAAGACGACAGTGAAATTATCAAACCCGTCCAGCCTCGGCTTCAGTACGAGTACGAGTAGTCCTGTCTGTCTGTCTGGCTTTGAGACAATTGAAATTCGCTTTGGCTGAGGCGTTTTCCTTTACTGAGAGTATATTCGAAGGCGTAAGCCTCAAAGGAAAGATAGTAAGGTGCGTTTCAAAGATGTACCACCTAGTAATAGTTCTAGTATAAGCAGATTACAGGAGACATAGTCACTTACTCTGTAAATGTTCCGATTTCTTACTGGCTTATGCGAGATAAGATAAATCTCTTTGTCAGAGATTTAGACTTTAGTTTTTAGAAACTATCGTGGAAGATGAAATTATAGCAGAGCAAACATTCCACCGCCTTAAATACCCGAAACGCACTGTATTTCAATGTATTGTAAACGAAGGTCGCAATTGAAGACTTTTGTCATGCAAATTAAGATGCAGTCAGATGATAAGACCAGCTGGAAGGGAGAGAGTTTGCTATCCAACCCAGATGCGATGACAATTCGAACCGTTTCAAATTGAAGTTTAATTGAAGAGTTTCCGATGCTATAACTCGATGTTTTTTGACAGGCATCTACTATACGATGGCCACCGTTGGACCCGCCATTGGCTACGTACTCGGCGGACAATTGCTGCTCATCTACACGGACTGGATGACCGTGGACCCCGTCCAGTAAGTGTGCATCTCTGATAAGCTGGCAATGATTGTTATTAATCGCGCGACTTAGTAGCAGTAGCAGTAGCAGCTGAAGGAGTGTTTGTGGGGGTCTGGCAGGTGACTCCAAGCTGCTCCCAGGAGAGACAGGAGTATGCTGGGTACTGCGGGGCTTATTTGTTACTCTGGCAACGGCAAATGCCACAAAGCACTGTGCCGGGTAAATATCTCTAGAGAGTAATAAAACAACATTTCGTGCTGACAACAAGGAAATAAGGTGCGAATGAGCATTTGTTTGATTCACATCCCACTTCCCCTCATCCCCTGGAGCGGAATGGGGATACCAGCACAGGGGGTGGGAGAAGGATGGGGTGGATGGAAGCCAAAGCAACAAGCAGCCAAGCAGAGGGATACACATGGATACAAAGAGTCGCCGCATGGCTTATTGTCAAGGAGATGCCATAAGTCATAATGTCTGCTACACCTCCTTCCCATCACTCGGGAGTCCCCCTCCAGCAACTCCTTAAATTATGTGGAAAACATGTAAAATTTTGTTTATGATTTTTTGCGTGTTTACCGTGGAAAACATAAATTCCCATTTCAGTTAATTTACACGAGCAGGGCAGGAGAACGGAACCCCAATCCTTTCCAGCACAGAGTCTAATCGATTTCCCATCTCCTCGTAGGTTGAGCCTGACCAGCGACAGCAAGGTTTGGATTGGTGCCTGGTGGCTAGGCTTCATATTCGCCGCCGGAATGTGCCTCCTTATAGCCATACCCATCTTTGGTTATCCGAAATCACTGCCGGGAGCGGATAAACTGCAGTTGGAGAAGGTCTCTGAGGCGCATGCAACCAAAACGGTGGCGGAGATTGGATCAGAGGGATCGGAGGGATCAGATGGATCTTGTGGCCTGTCCGGTGGTCGGCGGCGACTGGGGCAACTGCCTCATGCGGTACTCAGTCTCTTGAAGAATCCCACATTCTTCTTCCTGAACCTGGCCGGCGCTACAGAGGGTCTGGTTATAGCCGGATTCGCCGCCTTTCTGCCCAAGCAAATCGAGAATCAGTTCAGCATTTCGCCCATGCTTTCCGCTCTGGTGATGGGACTCATTACGGTGCCAGCTGGCGGCGGTGGCACCTTCCTGGGCGGCTATTTAGTGAAGAAGTGGAATCTCGCCTGCAGCGGCATCATCAAAATGTGTTTGATGGCCACCACGGTGGCGGCATTTTTTACCTTCTGTTTCCTGGTGTCTTGTCCCAATCCGAGGTTTGCGGGCGTCACTACCTCGTACAATCTCGAGGCCAGGAGCGGACCACCGGAGCTGGTGTCCAACTGCAATGCGAACTGTGGCTGCAGTCGCACCAACTACGATCCCATTTGCGGCACCAATGGCGTCATGTACTACAGTCCCTGCTTCGCCGGCTGTGGCCAGGAGGAGCATGTGGAGAGTCTGAAGCGCTACCACAACTGCAGCTGCATCGAGAGTGTCGGATGGGTGGACGATGGCGTCGCTCTACATCCGGATGCCACCAACTTGAAGTGCGACTCCACGTGCCAGAGTCTGCCGTACTTCGTGGGCCTCTGTTTCGTCCTGATGATCTTCACGTTCCTCGCTACGATGCCGGCTCTGTCCGCCACATTGAGGTAATCTCCTTATAGACATGTCCTGCGAAGGATTCTCATATTATTTGGCTTTCCACCCTTTAGATGCGTTCAAGACGAACAGCGTTCCTTTGCCCTGGGTCTGCAGTGGATCAAGGTACGGCTGCTGGGCACTATACCCGCTCCTCTTATATTCGGAGCTTTGATTGATGAGTCCTGCATTTTGTGGCACGAGTCCTGCGACGAGCAGGGAGGAGGAGCCTGTCTCGTCTACGATAATTTCTATATAAGCCGGTAAGCTGAAGGATTACCTATAGAGTATCTATAATACACTACTATTATTCTCCGACAGCTACATGTGGCTTTTGGCGTTGATTTGCAAGCTTGGATCCGTGGTATTCTTTCTGTGTGCCTGGTGGTTCTATGTGCCACCCAGCAAGCCAGCAGTCAATGCCAATGGCAAGGAAGACATTTGAAGATCTGTATCCAAACCGAAATGAAACTACTCTCATATATGGATATCCCACCAGACCTGTGGCTCATATTGGGCACGTTACGTATTGTCTGTGGGAGGATTTGGAATCAGTTTAGCATTAGCATTAGCAATAGCATTTAGAAACGAAGTAATATTTATTGGGAATCAATATAAGATCCTATTAGATATAGCTCGAATTTCTCAGTAGTATTTATAACCATTTTAAGAAGGTAAATGTGTGTGTATTTAGCCATAGATTGTAAGATATTTTTAAATAAAAGGCCATTTTATACCCAATGTATGAAGAGAAGGGGAGGATCTACTTGTAGCAGAGTTTGACAAACATCTGATCATAGGCCATCAAACTCTTGGTTAAAACTTAGTAAAGAAAACAATATAATATAGTAATAGATATAGTAATATGCATATGTATAACTTACTCCATCTGTTGCCTTCGATCGTGGGACACACTGCGTGCCGTGTTAGCACATGCGGCTCCCAATCGTTGTGGATGTTGTACCAGAACAGGGCGGATCCTTTCTTCGGCTGGATGGTGAGATTTATTTTCGGAAATATGGTGGCACCTCCCAGCGGGACATCGGTCATCTTAGGTGGATAAATGATGTCAAAAGAACATGATATGACATTATAAAGTTACTCACATAGAACAGAAAGGTGACTAAACGGTCGCCCTCTTCAACGAGTTCCTAAGTAATCAGATGTAGTATTTGAAGGTATAGTAATTGTGGTTTCCATTGCAGGTAACGTACCGGATTGGCCTTGATGTCTGAGTAGTCCCCGTGCTCCGGGAAATGGCTACCCAGGCCGTAGTTGACTGTTCCCAGTTGTGTGTGTTCTCCCGTAAGCAGACCCGAAATGTCCGCCATGCGGTTCACCAGATCCCTGTCCAACTTCTCGCCGCTACCCTCAAATATATTGACATAGAAAATTCGCTCTTTCTCTGTCGTGGTGTAGTTATCCGTGTAGCCCTGCACCATCTCCGCTCTGGTCAGGTTGACTGTCAATTGTTCGAACTCGCTGTCGTAGAGGACGTCGTGATATAACCATATGAGTGGATCCCGACTGACTTCCTCCTCCTTGAGCGGTGCCAGGCGCAGGAATGGAGTTGTGGTGTGATTGTAGCGACAGACCAACATTGGACGTGGCGGAAAATCGCCCCTGCAACCCCGTTCAATGAGAGTCGCTGCGGGCTTTGGCTTTAGATATACCAAAGGGATTGCAGGATCCTGCGACAGTTCCTCCAGATACTCATTTATATGGTCGATGGAGCCTGCAAGAAGTAAATCACTCTGAGAATCAGTTCGTTTCGTTTCAAATTGAACCAACCTTCATGCAGTCTGCTAATGAGAAACCTTTTTCGAACTTCCTCTTGATTGGGGCGGTAGAATTCTCGGGCAATCGGATTCAGTGGTAACTGAAGGTTATTCCATGTCAGTCTGTACCACTCAGCGGCTCTAGTGTATTCCGATCGGTTGTACATAAAGTCAGCTAGGATGAGACACTCGGGTGCGGTCATGCGGGTACTGACGAATTATTATATTGGCTGTATCTGTATTCGAATGGGAAATATTTGGGCGCGTTCTTACTCGAGTTGAAGTCCCGCCACTAGTCCATTGGCCATATCGAATGCCTTCAAGTCATAGAATCGCTCGATACGCTCCAAACCCATTAGGGCTTCATTCATGTCCACGGCATTAGGCATTTGTGCCACAAGTTTATCCATTTTCTCGACATCTTCCTGATCTTTGATGTAGGACAACCACTTGGGCCAGTCTTCATGGGCACGCCGAAGCAGTCCTAGCGCGTTCAGAGGATTGGCCACGTACTGAACGCGGCTCTCAAGTCTATCCAGATTCTCATGGGCCACAGAACAAAGGTATCTATGAAACTTCCTTCAGTTAAATGTTTATCTTTGGAACGAATCGTTTATCTCCCCTCACTTTTTTAGAGTATCCACCTTTTTGTGGAGAGACCTTACATAGCTGGTCAAGTGTTCCATGTAGGAATTTTCGATTTCTCTTAGTTCTCCAAGTGCCCGGATGGATGTTGTGTATATCAAAACAATTTTCTTTTTCTCCTCACCCAAGATCATTGGAAAAAGGGCGGCTGACAAGCAGACGAATAGATAAACAACCTTTCGTAGCGACATTGCGAACTAGAATACTCGAATAGAAACTAAAATCAAAATTGGAATTCGTAAGCTTTGAGGAGCGTTTCCATGGCTCGTTTGCAACGCTGAGAGACGTCTCAACGAAGAAGAATCATTCGCTGGAAATGGCCACCAAGATGACGTGTTCAGCGGTCTAAACTAACTAACCTAGGAACTACATAGTTAGCAACTAATAGTTTTCAGTGCAACTGGGAAGAATTTCCAAACTTGGTATATTTGATAAATATAGCACTCTACCCTACCCTACTCTCGCCTACCCCAATAGCCCATAGATGGCATCACAGCGTATACGTGATCACAAAGGAAAGTAATGAGAGCTATGAATAAATTATTAAAATTTTAAAAGAATGGATTGTTGTGTTGTAATTGATGTATTGATGTATTTGATGTAATAGGGGTAAATATAACAATATAAAACAAATTTTTGGATAAAGAATTCTTATTTTAATTAAATTCTTACTTAATGCCAGGTTTTATGTTAATTTATACTATTATTTAACTATTTCTGACAATTTATGTAAAAGTTGTTATTTTGTTGTTGTATTAGTTGTCTTTACAGCTAATTCAAAATAATATGGATTTATATTGCCTATTTCCGATTCATCCGAGTCATAATAAAAACTGTAATCATTATTTAAAGGCTGAATATTTTCTAGAAAATTATAATGGGGTGTTTTTAAAAGCTCAATGACATCTCGAGGAAGGATTTGTTTTTCATGTTGAGCTACCCTTTTCTTAATGGATATACTTGAGATGAGGGGATCTGAAGAGTCCACAGATCTTTGAAATACATCCATCATATTATTTACCCGCAAATTGTGTCGAGCGTGCATAAGCCGGTCACGCTTGTAAAATTTATTTTTCGCACAGGTCACGATTTGTCCACCTGGCTGTGAGGCCACATACTTTCCAGTCAAAGTCAGTATTGGGGTTTTAAATTGTGTTGTTTTCCAGATTTTCCAGATTAATGTACTGAAGGCAAAGCTACGACGCGGGTTTAACAGCCAAATTATATGAAAACATTAATAAATTAATAGATAATAAATAAAAATGAAATAACCAAAAATAAAAATACATCAAATTCTTTACATGCCGACGGGGAATCGAACCCAACCCCGGTCTCTATTTTAATATTTTTAATAGAAAATATAGGAAAAATATATATAAAATAACAGATTAAATACAAATTTTTTCATCACGACGGGGATTTTAACTTAGGGGCTGAGGCGCTGAGGGGTGGCAGTACTACCCACTGTACTGCCCAATTTATTACCAAATTGGTAGCTAAAAGTAAAACTTGTAATATAGTTTTACAAGAGGAATGAAGGAGTAAAGAAATTTTCAAGAAGAACAGTTAGGAATGGAGAAATTGGTATATATAGAGCTGAAATTTGCATGAATTGTTACCAGTTGCTACTGAGCTTCCAGCACAGTAACATCATCATGTATCACGCCTTAAACTCAAGCTGATCTAATAGTTCAAAGTATTACTATCTTTTAAAGCACACTTTCTACTTTATTTTTACATACATTACATATTGCACAAACACGCAGAAGGTTAGTTTTTATTCCACACAAGACGAACCAATTGATTTGGGTTTCTTTTTTTTTTGACAAAATAAAACGATATATGTACATATGTACATATGTATATAACATATACAAAATTTTAACACAAAATGACTTTAAAGCTTTATCAGAATGAGAGGGCTAAATTTTTAGCAAAAACATTTATTAATTGAATTGTATTGAAATATAATTAATATTTGCTTCAACAAAATTTTCGAATTTATGCCAATTATTTGGGAATTCCGCCCAGTGTGCGGTGGCGCTACTAACGTACATGACAACGGTTTGTGTCTTTGATAAATAACTTTTGCTGGGCGGCGCTAGTGAGGACACAAAACCCGTTGAAAATTTGAATGGAAAAAACATCCAAAACTACACTCTGAAAAACTTCCTGATTGACAATCAAATAATGGATAAACAAGATATACTATATCGGGCCTTGTGATCGGGGAAACATCCTCGATGGTGTCCATATCAAAGATCAAGGATATTTTCAATAGTCTAGTGGGTTCTCAGGAGATTTAATACAATAAATTTATAATAATAAAGCAACAAAATAATATTCCGCTTCCTTCTGGCTAATAACGAGTCCTGTACTACTTGAGTATCGCGTATGAAAATGATTTTGCTCATACATACTCGTAGGAGTAGTATTTGTATTTGTTTGTAGCTTCGTACTTTGACTTTATCTAACTCTATCAAATTCGAGCAAACTCTTCAGTTTTCTGCACCGAGAGAAAGTTGCATATGCCAGCAAAAGATTTCCCCCCGGGAGAAGAACAACAACTTGGCTATTATCATTATTGTTATCGCTATTGAAAAGCGCTAATTGTGCGCAAATAATGAGCCAAACTCCAACCATATTCGTACGTGGCGGCATGCCGGAAAGCTCACACATGCAAAAACCTGTTGGGAAACTGCAAGCGAGGCAGAAAACCGAGGCGCCACAGGATGCGAAGAAAGGCGAAAGTTAGCGGCAGATGGAGATGTGCAGACGTTCGAATAAGTACGAGTATGTGTGGAATGTGGCATTTCTGGGGGTTAATTAGAATGGGTATTGAGAAACAATTCGAAAGGGAGTGTTGCCAGGATATCTCCGTTCATTCCCATGTACTCCCAACCAAATGTCCTTTTCCTAGTGTCCGGTGTCACATAGCCGTGCTAGGAGCAAAAGCTAGTAGCACTGCGACGAGCGTCACGTGCATATGAAAATATTACGTTGGGCGCTTTATGAATGAAACATTTACTATTGCATACCTTCGCCTTTGCCTTCGCCTTCGCCGTTACCACCCCAGCCATATCCACTCCACTTTATGCCATGCTGCTTGGGGCACCTTGACTACTGGCCGCACCGCCCAATCTCGCCCCCATTGCCACTCGGCCTGCCCGCAAGACACATGCGCAACGCCATCGCCAGGCAGCATTTGAATTTTGAATATGAATTTTGACACTTGATTATCAGCGCCGCTCGCAGTTCGCGGCCAGTTCCAACTGTGTGCAGACGTTCGTCCCCGGCAAGACAAAAACTTTGGCAAAAAAAAAAACTGGAAAAAATAAATTTACATTAGTGCAGCGGAAACTCGGCTTGGGCGGCTATTTGGCCAGTGAAAGTGGCAACAACAAAGAGAAAGGATAAAAGAAAGGAGTACGACATTTAGGCAAAACTTTCGCACTTTGGTTGGCACTTTAGTGGATGTCGAAGCCAGACCAGAGCTGGGAATATGAGAAAAACCTTCGCGGATGTCTGGCTCCTGCTGCACTGCGTGTGTCTGAGCCGGGCCAGCTTCTCGGAGTTAAACAACTGTAAGTTGGCTCTAAATAGCTATCTTTAAGGGATGAACATTGCGTAGAATAAACTAAATAATTATAATGAATATCAACGAAAGCTTAAAAAAAGGTACAAAATAGATACCATATAAAATACAAATTCTATGAAGATAATGTACATTTAATTAAATATATTTCAAATTCAACACCCAATTTAAAATTAAAAGATGAAAAATCACTTGGAAATGTTTAAACCAAAAAATCGTCCCTTAAGTTTATCGCGGTCTAGTCGATCCTTTAATTTTCAACCCACAAATATCAGTACAACTTTGAGGAACATCAGTTAAACCGCCACATACTCGTAAATTTCTCAGCAAAGGTTCAGCTAATTGACTACATTTAACGTGGAAAATATCCAAAACAAAAGTACTAACAAAAAGCGTTATAAACACCAACAGCAGCAACAGCAGTGGGCGCCAAATGGGGCGGGTGGCTACCGCCTGGCAATCGGAAGTCCAACGAGTCCATAAGTGAATAAACTGTGGCCAACATATTCCCCAGACAGAAGGGATAGGGACGAGGAAGAAGAACAGCGAGGAGCAGCTACTTCCGCTTGGAAAAATGTGCGCCAAAAAGCCCAAACCCAACTCAAAAACCCAGAGCACATCACAGAAAAACAAAACAAATTTTCCTTGACTTTGGGAAGCCGATAAATGCGATAAATATATCAGAAATATTGGTATATTTAAATCAATGTGCCAAATGCAAAATAAACAGAAATATTGGCAGGCTAGCCGCAGTGCGCGATAAGAAAGTGAGAAGTGAGTGGTTCGGGCCAAGAATGATGTCCCAAAACCCCCGAAACCAAAACTCCATTCCTCCTCCCAGCAGGCCATCAGACGGACAGCCAGACAGCCAGACAGACAGACAGTCGCGGAAAGGCGACGTTTTTCCACTTCCTATTGCACTCAGCGCAATTTTCTTTCCACTCTTTTGTGGCTGGTCGTGCTACTGATTTTCTGCTGCTGAAGTGTTAAGGATGGCGGTGGTGCAGTCCCCCTGCAATGGCATAGGGGTACGGGTGCTGTTTTATTTTTTTGGCAGACATTGCGTGCTGGTTGTGCTGCGTTCCGCCTGCAAACGGCAGACAGTTGGAGTGTCTAACAGGCAGGACATTCACTTTCCGTTTCAAGTTCAACAGTGTGGGGAAAGGACTCCTCCATGGTGAAGATATATAGTAGGACCTGTAAGACAGAAGTTGAATTCCAGCTGTGCCTCTTAGACATTAAAGATCGAAGCGAAAGCCAAGTATGACTCAAAGGAGAATTACCAAAGAGGATGCTAGATGAATCTTAGAAACAAAAGAAAAGCGAACGGAATCGGAGAAGATTTTAGAAAGAGAAGAAAGATATATCGAGTCAAGAGACAACAATATAACCCCTACCATATAGCCCCTAAAGACCATATCGTATCCTATGAGACTACAGTGAATTTCCTGCCACAAAGTTAGAAACAGGAAAACCATTTAGCGGCCACAAAGTTAAATGCGAATTTGCATTACCTGCCAGACAAACGTATGAAAAATATCCACATGCTCGGGCACACAGAGGTGTATTATGGTTAAAAGTCTCGCTTGTCCCTTTCTTTGGAATGTTTCAATATGCAAACATGCAATAACCAAATTGCAATAACAGCAGCAACCATAGGCAGCCAAACAATGGCGAAAGGTAACCCCTACCCTATGCCGAACCGAACCGAACCATACCCAACACCCATAGGTAGTGGTGGAGTGGTGTGTGCCCGGCATACCGAACCCAAACATAATCGCAAATTATAGGCTATATAGCATGGCATCGTCGTAGGCTTCCTTCCCCCCAATTGGATGCTAGTTTGTGCTGAAAAACGCCCACACCCGCACCGCAATCAGTGTAAGAGGTGATGGTGATGGCAGTGGTCGCGACGGGGCAAATGTAAGGGTGGAGCCATAGCCAGAGCCAGTAGCCAGCTTTTTACAATTTTCTAGGTACTAGCAGCTCCCTCTGCTCTATTAGACTTTTGCATTTTTTCGGGTTATTATTTGGTCATAATTGTAATTTAGGTATTTGCTGTGTGTGAGGAAAAGAAGGACTCGACTCCACGCTCCGTGCTCCACTCCTCCTGACCGCAGCGTGGCCACAAAATCATGCTACTTGTTAGGCATGTGATGTGATTTCTATTTTTTTTGCCGCCTTTGTTAGGGGGTGTCAGGTCTGAGGTCTGAGGTCTGGACTTCTGTGTGTGCGGTTGGGTCTCCCAGCGGTTAGAGGCTGACGGGCAAATGTCGAAGTCTTGGGCTTGTGGTCGGGGAGCGGAGCTTGACTGGAAATGATTGCGTTGAGTTGAATTCCATTTACCCTCCTCCCATCTGAGAAATTATCATTTTGAGCCTTGCAGGTTTTTGAACTGTTGTAAGAATAATTACTGAAAACTCTTAACATTTTTTTTTGAATTCTTCTAGTGCATGAAACTGAAACCTTCCTGCACATAATTTTACATCTTAAGAACCAAAAGACTGGCGGGGAGGTCATCCCTAATAAACAGTTAATTTAACTAATTGTTGGATTATTTGCTGTTTGCCTTCGCTTAATGTTCGCTTGGTCAAATTTATGGCCGCTGGATAATTTTAGGAAATTTCTTTGACCACTTTGGCGGGGCATCTGGCAAGCGTTGACAACTTTCGCCTGAGGCCGTTGACATTCTGCAGACAGAGGCAGAAATGAGCGGGGAAAAGAAATTAAATAATTATATTTTTAAATGTGGATTAGAAATGGCCAACGATGGGAGGCGGCCGAACATTTCCGAAAAACAAATTATTGTAAATTCAATTATATTTTCTCGCCCGAGTTCCTTTAAATGGGTACAGCGGAAAGGCCAACATCTAGCATTTGCAAGCCTCATAAACCACCCCCCTATTAGCCCATGGTGGACTGCTACCCCTGGCATATCCCACAGTTACGTTACGAGTATATCTGCCCCATTTAGTACTCTAATAAGCAGAGCCATAAATGTCAACCAACCTGCCTTTCTAGCGGATCCCAAGTTCAGTGGCCCCATCAACAATGTAACCAGTCCCGTGGGACGCGACGCAGTGCTCACTTGTGTGGTCCACGAGCTGGTTAGCTTCAAGGTGGCCTGGCTGCGGGTGGACACGCAGACCATTCTCAGCATACAAAACCATGTCATCACCAAGAATCATCGCATTGCCATCTCCCACACGGAGCATCGCATCTGGCAGCTGAAGATACGCGATGTCCAGGAATCAGATCGCGGATGGTTTGTACTATTCAATAAGGACAGGCCAAGAGCTGAAATATACCATATTCGCTGCAGGTACATGTGCCAAATCAACACAGATCCCATGAAGAGTCAAATGGGTTACCTGGATGTGGTGGTGCCACCCGATATCGTTGACTTTCAGACCAGCCAGGATGTGGTGCGTGCCACGGGACAGAACGTGACACTCACTTGCTATGCAACAGGCGTCCCCACGCCTACCATCACCTGGCGCCGCGAGGAGTCCACCCCACTCTGGCTAACAGACGAGGGCGATCGAGAAGTCTACAGCGTCGAAGGACAAAATCTCACGCTGTGGCAAGTGCAGAGGACTCACATGGGTGCCTATCTCTGCATCGCTTCCAATGGCGTTCCTCCAACGGTGAGCAAGCGCGTCATGCTGGTGGTGAACTGTAAGTTGAGAGATTTATCTAGAATATATCATAAAAGTATCATTTATTTTATTTTCCTGACAGTTGCGCCCACAATCTGGACACGATATGATACCATTTATGTGGGTTTGGGTCAGAAAGTGACCCTGGAATGCATCACAGAATCGCAGCCGGCATCAGTGAACTTCTGGCTGAAGGACACGGAGCTGCTGCAAGGTGGCTCCTACGAGTCCGTCGCAGTGGATCACGCCTATCGGATTGTGATGCGCATCACTCTGAGACCGGTGACCAAGCGAGACTTTGGCGAGTACAAATGCATAGCGAAGAATGCGCTGGGCGAAACGGAGCGGAGTATCACAGTGCATCGTAAGTCGGTCCGGTCCATATACAACGATCTATATCTTACGCAGTCATCTCTTTCTGTGATCACAGATAAAGCCAAGAAGCACGGACAGCATTCGCACCAAACATCCGCGCACGAGAGTCAATTCATTGTCATCGAAGGTCTGTAGTCAGTGTCAAAATTCTAGAACATCTTTTCTTATATGCTGTTTTACAACTTTCAGAATACTTGGCTAATATGGCTCATCGGTTCTGTAGTTTTCATTCGGTTTGGCTAATACTTTTGTGTTTTGTGAATAAAGTTTCCAGTTTTTGAACAGTCAAACACTTGGCGCTTTGTCTTTTAGCCACTTTTGAGGCGTGACTGCATCATTTATATATATCCTAATTCACAATTTCATATTAATTATTAAATATAATTTCGGTTACATAGAACTAGTACATAGACCGATTCCGGGATAAAGTAATGCAGGTGTGAGACATTGGACAATCAAAGAATTAAATGAATACCCCGCAGTTCCCCTGCGGCACATTCGTAGAATGATGCGAAAGACATTGATTCCTTGCAAAAATTTCCCATAAGCGAACGAACCATTCAACACGAATGTTTCCAAAAGAATTCCGATTCGAAGTGGAAAAAAAAGATTGAAAGTGCTTGAAAATTACGTTAAATTTTTGCGTTTTAGATGAATATAGATAGAAAATTCCTATTCTATATATAGTAGATGTAATACAATTTTTCAAAGGAATATTGTATTGTTCAATGCAGAAACCAGTGTCACGAATGTGTTGCTAATGGGACCTTGGCATAAAATCAACTCTTTTGATGCTGCTCTTTTTGGGTGCATACGCATAATCGTACGCGTATTGATTAATTTTTGATTTGCTGGCTAAATAAAATTGTTCTAGGTCCTCTATATAGGTTTATCATCTCGTCATCACACATTTAAAATTAACTACAGTTCGCTTTAGTTATGTACAATTGGTTTGGTTCCTTAATCAAAGATCAATTGAATATTTAGCTAAGACTCGAATTGCAAACTTTACGCTTAACATAAAGAAAATTTAACTATGGGAGAATTCATTAATGGTTAACAAGTGTCTGTCTAAAATGAACGATGGTCGTCTAGTTAGTCCCTTTCCATCCTTTCTTTCTGCTATTTTTTTGGGGGTTTTGTGGCAATAAATTACGTGTGATAATTGTTAGAGCGTGTCGAGGTAGGCTTAATAGTTTGTTAGTTTTGGGGTTTTTTTTGGCTTACAAACTAAGAGCATGTTGTGTTTTGTGTGAGGATGTGTTAATGCGCTAGCCTAAGACTGTTTTGTTTAGAAGTAATGCTATGCTCAACTTGAGCTGTTGTGCCCGTTGGCCAGTTTGGGAGGGGGCAACTCCATTTTGGGCACTTCAATGGCCGGCGGCGGTGTGGCGCCCTTTGCCTTGGCCAGTACATTCCTCTGCTCGTAGATCTCGTTTACCAGCTTCTTAACAAACGGATGATTGAACTTTCCCTCCGTCGAGTCGAAGAACTCCTGATGCTTCAGCAGACAATTGTCGCGTTTCTCGTACTCGAACGCCTGCATCACCATGTCCAGCCGATCCAGATCCTTGACGAACCTGCTCTCAGCGCTTTCTGCATGTTCGTACTCCTAAAGATAGATAAGAAAATTGGTATACTTCGAAATTAAGGAATTGTCTGATAGATGTCTCACCTCGAAGAGCTCCATTATGCGCTTGCCGCGGGGTTCGATCAGTTTGCATATATCCTCCATAGCCTTGAACTCCATGGCCCTCTTTTCCTCCTTGGACACACCACAGAATGGGGTTATATCCCCCACTAGACTCTCCGCCAGGTCGTGCACCAGAGCCAGTTCCATGCACCGTATCTGGTTGAGTCCCTCGCTGCCATCTAGCAGAAATGTGAGCATGCTCATCCGATACATGTGACCCGATATCGATTCACAGTCGTTGACATCACGCAGCACCCATCCAGTGCGTTTGGTGTGCTGTTGGATAGAGAGGCAGGCACTGGGTTATTGGAAATGTAATATATGAAATGTCGCTGGAACTGTGGCATCTTTCCATTGATTCCCTTCCGCCACACCAGTGAGCACTCTGCCTAATTAAAAACATTCGATGCCGAGCGACGCTGGTGACATCGTTGCACACATCAAGGTTGATGCCTTGCTGACGCTGAGGCCCCTGCCACTGCCGCAGTCACCGCCACCGCCTTCAGGCCTTCAACTTAAACCTGCCATCGAGGGCGCTTACACGCTTTCTAGACTGTTGCTATTTGATCAATAAAAGTTTTATTTATAGCAACCGTCGCTGCGGTATGCGGCAGGCGGTAGGGCAAACAAGGTCCCAGAGACGTTGCTGCATGCCCATTGCTGAAGCTGATGCCTGCCTCTTGCCATTGAGCTTCCTGTTTAACCTAAAGTCTTATATGACCAGACTATATTGTCAATAGTCCGTGACTTATCGGGCTACGTTGATTATCTCTGACCAACTCCGAGTTGTAGTCACGTAATGAAGTGCAATTGTTTGGCTTATCAACCAAATCGGCCAACGCTAGTCAGAACGAGTTCTGAGGTTGAAACAACATGCATAATGATGCACAAAGTAAATGGATATAGCAGTTCCATATCATATCTCAATGATAGATACTTATAACAACGATTTGAGGGCGTATATTGGGTTTAGTTGATTAATTGTGTTGTTGGATCGAACATGGAATTAATATTTACTTTATCTCTCGAGTATCAATTAATGAAAGTAGTCTTCGATATGAACGAGATAGAAATCAAATGTCAAATGATAGTAGAATGTGAAGCATTTCTTTGTGAGTGTCAATAGGTTGCTGACAGTTCGACTGTGATCCATAATTTTCTGTAATTGTGCAGGGGATTTCTGTGCACTGGTCTAATACCTACTACATTTCCTTTAGCTACAATCGTTCTCCAAGAAATAGTCTTTCAGTTTCTCTCATATTTCCTAAACTGACAAAAGTTCTCATTTCAGCTAATGGCTTCATTTCACACTGCCTTCACAGATAGCATTCATTATTAATTTCCATTTTGTTATGAAAACAGAATAGCGACGATCCCTCTCTCTCTCTCTTTCAACCCTCTATGTAGAGGTGCACACCACAAAATTCTCCCAGATAGCGTCTATATTTTGAAGGCCAAGATCAAAGTCACGCGTTGATTTGCCTTTCTTTTTTTTGTATAGCTTCTATGTCGCGCTCTATATACTACGCTATATGTACCTATGTATAAAGAAAAATTTAGAAAATTACCAATCGGAATATTTCGTTGTGGCTTTGTCGAATTCTGTTGTCCTACATACGTCAATGCTGACGATTGAGAATTATTCTCACTGAAATTTTAGATTATTTCTAGATATTTCAGCAAAAACCGAGTAAATACGAATTTAATGGAGGCTCACGTGAGCGCCAAAGTTGTTGGTTGTTTTGGTTTGTTTTTCGAAGCTTCTCGGGTTCAGAAATCATTTCGATTGAGTGGCATTTCCATCGGTGGACGGCGGGGCAGTCTGATCAAACTGCAATCGATTTGGTTTTTGGGGGCCTTTTTTCGATAAGCAAATGAGTCCCGTGTTCTCTTCTTCATTTCGTTGAATGTTTCGAATGAGCTCTGATTAGATAAACGTTAAGCTATCTCTAGCAGAGTTCGTGATAGAGGGTCTGTGGAACGTGTGCAGCTCTCTTGACTTTTGCGCTGTTTGCTTGGGCTTTTGTTGATTTAAAACAGCTGTTCTTTGCCTCTGGTTAGGTCTTTGTTTATAGTTTATCGGTAGACTTTGCCCATCGTCTGCATCTGGTTGTGTAAAATATTACAGAATTACTAAGCTAATTTTAAGCAGAAACGACAATGTGTCTTAAGTATACTCGCACGGAGAGCATTGTTCAAGTATAATACACACGATTTATTGTATACATATGTATGTTTTTTTTTTTGGCAACCGACTATACAAATTGAAGTGGAGAGGGACACGAGAGCGAGGTTGTCTCACAGATTATACAATATTTTCACAAAAAGAAGGAACAAAAGAATGAAAAGAGCGTCGAAAGAATAGAATGAATTATACAAAAAATAAATAAATATACTTTCGCATTTGATTTTCTTTCGTTTTTGTTTACTTTCTTGTAGGCTATCTGTTCGCAAAAAAAATTTGGGGATTTTCAGTAAATATTTTGATAGAATTGATAGAATATGGCTATATCTATACGATCCTAATCCTCAGCAATCTTTATCCCCTCTATAGGACTCAATCTAATGTTTCCTATCTTAATCAAATAGAATACAATGTGTTAATCAAACATTGCCAATCCAATAGGATTTGTTATACGACACTATATACTCAGATTGTATTTCCAGAGCTCTCTACTATAATCTCTAGGCACAATTGTGTTAACCAAAGCCTCATTATATCCCCCTCAAAGTTGTTGCCACACACACTCTGGACCTAATGAAAACGCAAAATACGAGTATAATCTTCTTCATATAAGGCACGTGTTTCACGGCCACCATTCAAGACTTTAAGCGACGAGACGAGTCCGTCATTTAAAAAACAAAACTAATCTGATTGTCACGCGAAGTCGGGGGGCTTCGATCGAGTACAGCGTACAAATTGCTGACTGAAACGGAAATCGGAAACCAAAGCAGCACCCGGGTGCAAGCGCTCCCCGAGCGCAGGGTGACGGCGGGAAAAATCGATGCGAGCATATGACGCGACAGTACACAGTACAGCACAGCACATGAAACGGGTTTCTTTCTTTAGCATATATACCTTTAGATTTCCGATGAGCTCCATGAACTGCAGAATCTCGGCGAGACCAGTGCTGAAGCAGGGCTTCTTGCCCGTGCTGGAGGCAGCCTCCTGGCACGAGGCGCCCAGGCCATTGCTGGGAGTGGTGCCGGACGCTGCCACATCACTGGTGCTGGCGGCTGCTGTGATTTCATCCGGTTTGTGGGCCTGGGGCAGGGGCTCCGCTGCTAGCGAGGACATGGCGAACTTTGTGGTCGTCTGTTGCTGATTCTGTTGCTGGGAGGATTTGGTTCCGTGTCCACTGGGTGGCTGGGTGTGTATGAGGCGCTGGATGTCCTGTCTGCGTTGCTGCAGCAGCTTTCGGGCGAATTGCGTTGACAAGTTTCCGTTCACGCTGTGCGCCGACTCCGAATCTGACTCTCCGTAACAACAACCGTTGGGGTTCGAATGGGACGAGCGAATGGCGTTGTGGCTGAAGTTTTCGTCGCTCGACACCGCTGTTGCTTGACTAGATTTCTTTGGTATTGCTGTATTTGTAGTTGTGGTTGTGGTTATTGCTGTAGTTGCTGCTGATGACGTCAGGCGATGCCTGAGCAGCCTGTAGAGATCGCTGCCACCCACGCCGCAGTTGCCGCTATTGGCGGTCGCTGCTTTGATTATTTGCTGCAGTGAGAACATGCTTGCTTCGGAGAAAAAGAGCGCCAGAGACTGCTTGCTTCGGAGAAAAAGAGCGCCAGAGACTGCTTGTTTCGGAGAGAGTTGCTCGCGCGTGATCGTTGGCTACAAAACTGGGGGCCGAGCGTCCGACACGTGATGTGTGTATTTCGTTTGTTAAGCCTGAGGGTGAGAGAGAGAGAGAAAAGAAATCCATTAGCATTGTAGCATGAACTCATACAGTTTTGTGAGTACTGTGATAACAGTTTTGCAGCAAGCAAAGCTCGTTTTTGGTTTTCGTTTGTTTGTTTTTGTTTTCATTTGCATTTGTTCACTTTTATTTTTTCTCTTTGCGAGGACCTTCAGTATTGAGTATCGGAACCATATATATATATATGCATATACATATACATATATATATATGTATATAAAGCACACACACCGCCATACTTATAATTATCCTCAAATAGTGGATGTATAACTGCGGTAGGGCAGAAAATTTAAAAACTGGCGGAACTACACGATTCGTCTGAAAATACTAATGAAATGGGATCCCTATTAGTAAGCGACTTTAAATCGAAGAATAAATCACACATACATTCGCGAATTTCCGAATGTGTTGCTCATTTTTATGAACCGTTCAAAGTGCAATTAATGACAAAAACAAACAATAAATACAGCTTTATCAGCTGCCGCCCCACTTCCCAGACAGCCGTATAAACATAAAATGTATGTATGAAAAAGGTCTCTACACTTGTGATCAAAATAATAGGTACACACCACTAGCTCCGTCTGCAGTTTTCTGAAAAATGATTGCAGAATAAAAATAAACACCTATTTATGAGCGATTTGCTTGGTTCATGGGAAAATGTCGATATCCTCCCCAAAATCCCTCGGAACACTCCGCACTTCCGAGAAGGCAAAGGTTCGTTTCAGTGACCATTCGGTACGTTTAATCCCCTATGGGAAGGTACTTATTATGTTACCCCCAGGTGTGTATACTACCATTTTTACACTCTCTATTCGAGAGGATTTTCTGAGGAAAGAAACAGAAACAGTTGTTGCAAGAATGTATAATGCTATTTAAGAACTATCCACTCGCTATTGCTTTCATGCAGTTCTCTATGCTAGTAGTGTACCTATTATAGTGACCCCATGTGTATATATTATGGTACTATTTTTACTGTTCATGTACTATATGCATGCATGTGTATGTATATGTAGAGGATGAACTGTGCTGGTTACCTTGACACTACTCGGAAAGAAGTTCCGTTCCGTTTTGAGGGGAAAATATATAGGAAGCGAAGCGCGTTTCCGACAGACAACACTTCAAGGTGTGCTGTGTCTTGTGGCACGTAAGCAGCGGCACGTTTCTCGCCTTTCTCTCTGCCTCTTGCCCGTTTTTAATGTAAGCGACTAAGAGCGGCGCCTGCCAACAACAGACTAAAGTTTTTAATGCGACAACACAGCGCGAGAACGGCGACGTTTGTAATTAGGAATATAAATAACACTAAACTAATATACAGGCACATACACCGACATCGACACCCACACGAATGAACAAGCACCAACAAATAGTTAGAATCACTAACGAAATTTATGCAACAGCTCTGGGTGCATTCTACCGCTGTTTCTCTGCACTTTTGATTCCCTTAATATATATTACTCGTAATTTTATTCACTCAGGCGCACGTCCGGGCCGTCCCTTCCGATCGACCGTTTTTCACGCCTGTGGTTCTAACAAATGCTGGCCGCACTCCCAACATTAAAACCGACAAGCGATGCCCGCCGAGCAACGACAAACTTGCATGCTTTGTTTAATTGTTTCAGCAGCAATTGCACAACAAAGTCTTGTTTTTGGGTTATTTTAATTTTTCTTGTGGGTGGCGGTTGGCGGGTGAGCCAGCTGCTGCGGCCAGTGTGCCCTGTTTGCTGCAGCTCAGTGTGTATCTGCAAAAAATACTACAAATACCAGATTTCCCCATGTGGAAACTGGCGCAACAGCTGATTCCCGTTTTAAAGTGTGATATGATTTGGTTCGATTTTGATTTCCATCGTATATTACTAGCTAGATAGATCTCTCAGTACTGCCCACATAATTGTATGCGATTAATAAATTAATTTTCTACTTGACTGGTTTATTTTAAATACATGCTTTTATTGAATTTAGCCTAAAAAAGATCAAACAAATAAAACGTAAGTGAGCTATCGTTCGTATTATGTTGAAACTGGTGCAACAGCTGATTTCCGTTCTAAAGTGTGCTTTAACTTATTCATTTAATTTAATTTGCCATGTTGGCGCCAATAAAGCATTTATTAAGCAACTATCGTGTTGTCCTGGCAAGTGGCTCGCCACGTCGCCAAGAATTGGTTAAAATGCTGGTGAGTATTGTCAGAAAAGCCATTTAAATGCAAATTTTAGCCAACAAAATACTATTCTAGGGTCTCAATGCAGAGCTCTGTCCATCCACATTTGAGGAGAACCTGAATCTGGCCGACTACAAGGAATTCTCCGACTATATAGAAGCTACAGCCCTGGGCAAAGCGGAGGAGGTCTTCACGCGTCTGAGTGCCGAGGGCGACAATAAAAATCTCATTGTTATAGCAGCCGATACAATGGTGACGCTGGGAAAAGAGATATACGGAAAGCCAAAGGATCCCGAGGATGCCGTGCGCATGCTAACCAAGTAGGTACCCTGCCGGTAAAGACGTCTCTTAATTCTCAAATTGATGTGTGCTTTCTTTGCAGCCTGTCTGGAACTTGCAATCGAGTGTTCAGCGGCGTTGTGCTCAAACATGCCCAAGGAGTGCGCAAATTTACGGACACTGCAGACGTACATTTCGGCCAGTTGTTGCCAGAGCAGATCCAGAACTATGTGGATTCTGGGGATCCACTGTAAGCCACAAATATACTATATAAAGTCGTGAAAAAGCTACAATCTCCATTTATATAGTGACAAAGCTGGAGCTTATGGCGTTCAGGGACCTGGTGGTGCACTAATACACCGCATCGATGGCGACTTTTACTGCGTGATGGGCCTGCCGCTGCATCGTCTTTGCTGTGAACTGAACAAGCTATTTCTGGAGGATCTCTCGTCATAGCCCGAAGCCAACTGTCTTCGGGATCATGCGCCAACACTCACGTCAGAGACTACAAACACGTTCCGGTGATTTTAATCTAAACTCTGATAAGAGTCTATATCTCGCCGTTGGTTTGTTTGCCTATAGCCCAAGTCAATTAAAAATATAAAAAAATAATAGCAGGGAGCCAAAAAGTCAAATGGAAAGAGAGCAGAGGCACAGTGGTTGTAGATCGTCCCCAAAGTCATGCCTAATCAATTTACATTATATAAACTTAATACGTTATAATACAACTCAATTGTTTATAGAAAATACTTACTGAAACCACTGTAGACTGTGAGAGAAACGCAGTGCTTTGACTTTTTCTAATCATTTACAATTTAAAAAACAACGCATAAAACTACATGTACTAATTTTAAAGATAAGCGGCTGGAAAATATTGTATTTGTGAGCTGTTCTATTGCTGGACTGGGTTCAGTAGTATTCCATCATTGACGCCAGGCGGATCAGGAATCATGGCAACATCCAAGAACTCATACCAATTGTGGGGCGGACGCTTCAGCGAGAAGCCCAGTGAGGCTTTACAGGCTCTGAATATCAGTCTGCCTTACGACTCGCGTCTCTATGCGGACGATTTAGATGCCAGCAAAGCCTATGCAGAGGCTCTTCAGCGCGCAGGGTACTTAAACACCGCTGAGGCGGACAAGCTGGTGAAAAGTTTGGAGCTGATTCGGTACGATTGGATCGAGCGCACCATCAAGTTCCTGCCCACCGACGAGGATGTGCACACTGTCAACGAGCGGCTGCTGGTGGAGATTACCGGGGAGCTGGGTCAGCGACTGCATACCGGCCGGAGCCGCAACGACCAGGTGGTCACCGACATGAAGCTCTGGCTGCGCAGGGGCATTCGAGAGACCCTCGGTCGCCTGAGTCGCGTTATAGAGTCTGCCGTTAAGCAGGCCGAAGTCCATCTTGGGGTCCTAATACCCGGCTATACGCATATGCAGCGGGCCCAGCCGGTTCAATTCTCCCACTGGCTACTTTCGCATGCCTTCGCCTTGCGCGAGGACTGCCTCCGTTTGGTGGAGCTGCGTGATCGCGCGAATGTCCTGCCCCTGGGCAGTGGAGCCCTGGCCGGCAATCCTCTTGGTATCGATCGTCTGTGGCTGGCCGAACGCTTGGGCTTCTCTGGCGTCACCGCAAACAGTATGCATGCTGTCGGAGATCGTGATTTTGTGGGTGAGTCCAGATTGTACTTAAACGTTTGAATAAGTCATTTCAAAGTCGTTGATACAATAGTGAATTTGAATCGTTCCAAATGGATCGGTTTCTTATCAGCAGACAGACGTTTAAGAATCGGTCGATTATTTAGACAGGGAATAATGATAAGGAGTTGTTGTACCCGGTATTGGAATAGAGAACATGCAACAGTATTATAATCATGAAAATAAGGTGCTTTCTACTGGTCCATTTAAGCATCTGTCCTCCCCCTGTCCCTCAGTTTTAAAGTTCCTTTCACTCTAAATCTTTTAAGTGGACTTCATCTATTGCTGTTCCCTGGTCAGCTTGCACCTGTCGCGTTTTGCAGAAGATCTGATCATCTACAGCACAAAGGAGTTCGATTTCATTCGCCTCCACGATAGCCTCTCCAGCGGCAGCAGCCTGATGCCACAGAAGCGGAATCCGGATAGCTTGGAGCTGATCCGCGGCATCTCCGGAGTGATTAGCTCCAATCTGACTGGCATTATGATGACCATCAAGGGCACACCGTCCACTTACAACAAGGACCTGCAGTTCGATAAGGAATACTGCTTCCAGTCGTTCGATAAGCTAAAACAGGTGCTCGATGTTACTCAGGGTGTTATCCAGACGATGCAAGTGCAGCGGGATACGATGGAGGCGGCCCTCAGTCCGGATATGCTGGCAACGGATTGGGTGAGTAGAACCGTCTCCAATGGTGTTTTAATGCTTATAGACCTCTTTATTGCAGGCGTACTATTTGGTGAAGAAGGGCATTCCCTTCCGACAGGCCCATCATTTCATTGGTCGCGTAGTCTCGCTAGCAGAGCAGCGCGGTGTGGGCATTACCGAGGTGCCGCTGGGTGAACTGCAGAAGATCTGTCCCGCCTTCGGATCGGACATTGCCAGCGTAGCCGATTACGCCAACAATGTGCAGCAGTACGATGTGATTGGGGGCACGGCCACGGCCAGCATCGAGGAGCAGCTGCGTCTCCTTAATAACTTTGTCAAAGATATGCGCAAGCAGTCCTAGAGCACAGGCGCTTTATTTAAACGTGATGTTACGTTTGGCTTTGGTGTTTGGTTAACAAATGAAAAAGATTTACATTGACAGCGTGGTGCGTGGATTATTAATTGAATAGATTAGATTAGTAGATAGAGTACTGGTTCGATCGTTGACGGCTCCTAGTTTACGCTGGGACTCTGGGGTGTGTAGGTGTAGGGCTCGTGGGTGCCCTGTTCGCCGTGGCCCAACTGCTGGTAGCCGGCGACCGCCGAGTTCTGGGGGGGAGCCATCTTTCCGCCGGAGATGAGGACGCCCAGACTCTGCTGGAGCTGCCAGCGCCGAGCTTCGCGGATCGACTTGTTGCGTCGCAGCGTCTTGGCCAGCATGAAGGCGCAGAGCACGCCTAGCAGTTGGACAAAGGCCACTGTAGTCGCACCGGTGGCAATGAGCATGGCGCTCTGCGAAATGATAAAGTTCATCTTGCGGAAGCAGCCGTAGTCGAAGGTGTCCAGGCAGGTCACTTGGCTGGCATCGTTGATGTCCTGGGCCAGACCGCCGCAGCAGGAATTGGGAACCACCACATCGTCAGTGTCCAGGGTCTCGTTCTTGTTGGGGCTGAAGTAATCCTTCCAGTCCTCGGGCTTGTTCACACCGCAGCATTCCAGCTGTTGGGGATGATCACAGCCATTAGTGATTGAAATCGATCTGCACCAGAGCATGGACTCACCCCGGATTGCATAAAGTCCACGCCAGATTCGACATAGGGATCGGTTTCGTAGTCAGCCATCGACTGGTACATGGTCCGAATCAGCATATCCCTCACCTGGGACTGCATCACGAAGGCAGCAATGGCCGCTGACACCTCCAGGATGAACACCAGGAACAGGCAGACACCGTACTGAAAACAAGCACAGGATTATTAGCATTTGGTGGGTGAGTGGAATCCGGCCTACTCACCAGGTTGATGACCATCACACTCTCCTTAACAGCTCCGTAGGCCCCCAAAGCGGCCACGGCAATCAGTATGAATCCTATGGCAATCAGCAGAGCCGGCGGCGATGCAAAGTGTCCATCGATGAAAATGCTAAAGTCGCCGAAGATCGTTTGGATCGTAGTTCCCACCATAATCAGCAGGATGGCCGTCAGCTGGAGGGGAAAGCGTCGTCATGCATTGCATGTTAAATCTAATTTTATGACTTTGCGAGTGCTGGAAATGTGGTGCGGGGCGTGGTACGCAAGGTGACGGCATGTAATAGTAGTAAAGCAAACCATTTCGGATGTCATAACATTGAGGCCAGCTGTTTGGAATTATAGAATTCCACTTATTCCACTATTTCCACTTCCTCATACTTTTAAGCGTCAACTGTGTAAATCGCTGTTCGACAACAAAGTAAACCTGCACTTTTGTACGTCATTTTTTCGTACCCCCTTTATATTTGCATGTTCTACAAGTTATCTTATCATTTTGCGTTGTAATATTTCAAAACGAACTGAGTTTCAGCAGAGTGATGCTTTACGATGTTCACTTGAGATTCTATAGACCTGTTGCAATTCATTTGCACTTCTTACTGTACTTTTTCTTCGTCGATCAGTCTTTTTGTTGCTTTTGCTACCCCTTACTTCACCCCCCGCTAAAATTTTTGACATTTTTCATTTTTGAACGCGGAAACACGCAATTGGTGTATGCGGATAAGTGATCGCTTACTCCGCCTACACATAAGCAGATTTGCACCTATGTTTGTACATATGTATCTTCACCGCTCTGCCACTTTCATTTTTACACCCAGTCTAAGCTTGCGATTCCAGTTCAGCTCCGCATTTTGGTCCGTGAAAATCGGGAAAATGGTGAAAAATCGATCGGGAAAACGCGAAAAGCTGTTGTGATTCCGAATTACAAATTTGCAAAAATTTTGTTGTTGTTTATATATTTGCTTATAGATGCATTTGGCAATGCTTCGACGCGACTTCTCGCCTCTGCAGACACATGTCAACACCACCAACAAGTGGTCAAACGCTCAAATGTCCGCTCTCCCAATATTTTTTACGTCAACGATTTTTCGTTTGTAAAATTGTTTGTTAAAAATTGTTTGGCTCAGCTTCGAAATTCCTTGTTAATTTGCAGCCGGCGGACCCGCTGCTTTGGCAACGAACAAACACCGGACACACCGGATATCAAAGCAGCCACGCTCCACGATTCTCGTCCCATCGTTGCCATCACCACACTGCCCGAAATGACTCCCAAAGACCAGCCTCCCACTCAACGCAGAAGCACCATCAGCATGCCAGCCACGAAACGTCGCAGCTGGTACTACAATCCCGCCTCGAAGATCCGATCGATCATCAAAAACCTGGACGCTGAGCTGGGGCAGCTATGCAGTCAGTGTTCGGTGCCAAATCCGCCGAGTAGCAGCAATATTAACGTCAGCATGCACAACATCACCTCAGGGGCCACCGTTGCCGCTGGAGGATTAGGATCAGAAGCCATCACCCGGCACAAGGGTATGATAAGCAACCAGAATAGCATCAATAAATTACTGGCGCGAGCACAGTCCAAATCGACCTCTGGCCTTACCACAACAATATCTCTGGCATCCGATGCACAGAAGCGTCAGCTGAGGAACGTTTATCGGACGCGGGTCATCAATGCCTATCGAAACCGGAAGATCTTCACGGTGTACGGCAACTATAATACAGTGCGACGGGCCCTCGTGAGTAGGGGCTGGCTGGAGAAGCTGCCGGCTTCGCGGTACGCCGCGCTGCAGTCCATGTCCGAGGATATCCTGCTGGAGAATGCGCGAAGAGGCAACGACCACGAGACGGTGGTCATTTCAAAGATGATCAACCAATTTCCAGCCTTCTTCATTTGGCAGAGTAAGGCTCAGCGCGATCTGTTCGCCGACGTGAGGCCATTCCGCAACCGGGTGAGGCGCAGCCAGTCCCTGGACTTCTCCACCAAGGTGGGTCTGGTCGGGTGCGCCGAGCAGGAGCGTTGGTTTCGCGAGGACGGCGTCTGCGGCATGAGCTATCCGCGCTTCTACCGCCTGGGCGGCAAAAACGAGGAGGAACGCAAAGCCTTCATTGAGGACTACCAGCAGACACAGGCACGCTCCCTGCTTCGCTACATCCTGGAGCATAAGCCCGACGAGCTGATAGACATTGACAATGGCACTATCGCGAGCAGCAACCTGGACTTTGCCCTGACCAAGGTTAAGCGAATGGTCGAACAGGCGCAGCACAAATCCCTCGACGATGCTCGGGTCAAGCCACCCACCGCAGCCGAATTCGTGGAGAGCCAAACGTTTATGCTGCAGTCGGCTGAGGTCCTAAAGTCGAAGGCCAAGTACCGGGTGACCCAGAATATCATGACGGAGTACGCTCGTCTGGCGACTCAATATCTCGAGCAGATCGAGGCCCTATGTCCCGACTATCGCTGGGATGGCTGCCGCAACCTGTGGATCCTCAAGCCTGGCTATCAGTCGCGAGGAATTGGCATCGTTATACGCAACAGCCTGAATGATATCCTCCAATGGACATCAAACAATCAGAACAAAAAGTACATAGTCCAAAAGTACATAGGTGAGTTTCATTCAATATGTGATATTTATGGTCCCATGGTGCCTTTTCTTGCCTTTATAGAACGCCCATTCCTGGTGTATCGTACAAAGTTCGACATACGCCAGTACATGCTGCTGACAGTCGGGGAATCCAAGGTAACCGTCTGGGTGTATCGCGATTGCTATCTGCGTTTCAGCTCCCAAGAGTTCACGATGGACGATCTGCGGGAATCGATTCATCTGACCAACAATTCTGTGCAGAAGCGCTACAAGAACAAGCTGAATCGCGATCCCCGTCTGCCGAAGCACAACATGTGGTCGCTGGAGCAGTTCAAGACCCATCTACGTCATGTGGGTGCCCCGGACGAAACCTGGTCGAAGATCTACAATGGCTTCAAGCAGAATCTAGTGGCCGTGGTGATGGCAAGCCTGGATAAGACCGAACTGGTGAAGAACGCCTTCGAGCTGTATGGCTGTGACTTCATGCTGGACGAGCACTACAATCCCATCTTAATTGAGATCAACGCAACGCCGGATCTGACACCCTCGACGGCGGTTACTGCCAGGATTTGTCCCCATGCCGTCAAGGATTGTATACGCGTGGTGGTGGATCTAGCCAAGAATCCCTCGGCACCCACGGGACAGTTCGAACGAGCCTTTGAGGTCAACTACAGCATCAACAAAAATGCCGATGTCCAGCATCCCCATCCCCTGGAGCTCAACGGCAAGCAGATGACCATCGTCGAGAAGATCCCCTTTCCTATGCTCACAAAAAACAACAATCGGACACGTATGCTCCGAAAAATACTCCACAATGTGAAGGTCTCTGCGGGTCACAAGCTGACCTCAACCAATCGAAAGAAACGAGCACTACGGTACTCATCAGCAAAGGGATTTCCACTGCCGAAAAGAAAAATGGGAAACAATTGTATTTTTCCAAAGATGCCAAGGCAACAAATTTAAGATAGAGGTAAAAATTAAATATATTAACCATCAACTTAACGGCTGTAGCGTGACTTTAGAGCCTGTCGGATCTGGAGAATCGCTGTCTATAAAATGAATTAAGAAGTCAAAACGAAACCCGCAGATCTTAGAGTATTTCTTTTATAAACGAGACTCTAAATAAAGCCGTCGATGATTACCAAAAGAAATACGAACATTAAATATTTAAATAACAGATAGTAATACTGACAGATAAAAGCGAAATAGAACATGCAATGAACCAGAAATGGTTGAAAAGATCGAGAAACCTACCAGTAGGGAATAGCATGGAAGCAAGGAAAATGTAATGGCTCAAGGTTGGTCCAGAAGGTAAGAGAGAAAAGAGAGTATTTCTTATTCTTAGTGTAGATCTTTTTCTCTCCCCGTAAATGGGCAACAAAATGATAAAGGAGCTTTGTACCTTTAAAGTATTTATATATTTACATAAATGTATATTTGGACTTCACATGACTTCAGTTAAGCCCCAGTTTTTGTTTGCACCATGCTCTGTGCTTACATTGCTGCGCCTTTGTGCATTCTGGATTATCTCTGACTATAGAGATTTCTCTC